CCAGCAACAAATCGTTGAGCACCTCGCCACCCGTCAAGGGGAGACAGAGCAGGAGCTCGCGGCCCTCCGTGCCGCCACCGCTCAACGCGTTCCGCTGCCGGACCCCCGAGTACAAGCTGCGAAGCTGCTACCCAAGCTGACTCCTCATGATGACGTAGAAGCCTTCTTACAAATGTTCGAAGCGACGGCCACCACGGAAGGATGGCATAGGGACGACTGGGCACGGGTGCTGGCTCCCCTGCTGACGGGCGAAGCTCAGCGTACATACTTCGCTTTTCCCGCCGCCTCCGCCGATCAATATAAGGAGGTCAAGAAGGAAATTCTAGCCCGCCTGGGGTTATCCCCTATCTGTGCCGCCCAGCACTTCCACGAGTTGGAATATCAGCCCCGTCTGCCTGCCCGTGCCCAGGTTGCCGAACTCACGCGACTCGCGCAGCACAGGTTGCTGGAGGGGGCTCCATCGGCTGGTCAGGTGGCGGAGCGCGTTGTGATAGACCGTCTCCTCCGAGCCCTTCCCCGATCTCACCGACAGGCAGTTGGGATGAGGAACCCAACCACCACCTCGGAGCTTGTGGAGGCTGTCGAGCTGGCGGATGCGGCCCAACATCGGGATGCTGGGGAGCGAGCGCCACCTGGACCTTTCTCCCTATCACCCACCTCACCAATAAATCCACCCTCCGGGGCATTTATTAAGATTTCCTTGTCGTGTGATTCTTCACCCCGTTACACATTATAAAGCTTGGAAGAGCCAGGACATTTTTTTATATAACTCCGATTGGATTCGTCTGAAAGAAGAAAGTCATATACACCTAGGATGGCTTTAGGGTGAGTAAATCATGGGGTAATTTTCATTTTTGGGTGAACTATGCCTTTAATTTGTGGACGGGTGAATTAAGAAACCCTGCAGAAGCACCGAGTGTCACGTGACCGGACTCACCTCAAAGCTCTGCTCGATGATACTCCCTCCTTTGCTGAAGCTCTCCATGATGGCCTTGTTCCTCAGGATGTCCTCCTCGCTCAGGTGCTCGCGTCTCTTCCTGGACTCCAGAACCAGGCCGTTCACCATGTAGAAATCCGCCAAGAAATTCCCCACTCGCTCCTGCGGGAACGTCAACGAGAGGCTCAGGATGCTTTCAGACGACTCCGAGAGAACTATTCCTCATATTCAGAGTGGTAGTTTCATTAACAGGTGATATTTCCCAGCTTAAATGGGCATTTTTATCTTTTAAGAGCAGTTTTTCTAAGTTTTATAGACGTTTGGTTCATCTTTAATGCCAAATTCTTACATTTAATCAAGTTCAATTGCAATAATAAGACAATACAGAGCTGTTACCAACCAAATGAAATCAGTATCAACACAATCCATCTTTGCACTGCAGAAGTGGCACAGAAGCTGCATTTACACTGCAATTACAACTACATAAATAATGCTATAGATTAATGTTTTAAAAATACCGATATTGAAATTTATTTTTAATAATGAAATATTTTAATAAAAATTTTTTTTTAATAATATTAATATTGAAATATTAATTTTTAAATTACATTTGAAAAAAATTATATTAAATGTAATTTTTTAATTAAACACTTTAAATACAAAACTGAAATCGGCAGTAGTTGGCAGTCTTAATAAGTGAGTCGTTGAATCATTCATTCAACCAATTCATTCAAAACAGCTGATTCATTCAGAAACAAACTAAGTGACTCTCTTTAAAAATGAAGCTTTACATCACTGAATGATTCAAAAACACTGATTTGTTCACATCATCATGTGTCGCTCGTAGAGCAATTTTCAAAATAGAGAAACAACAGACAGTACTGTGTCAGAAATGCAGTTAAACTGACCCCAAAACTCTAAATATAGGGCTAAAATGCCCCTGTATTAGTTTGTGTCATATATTTCTACATGATAAACTATAAGTAGCAGTGCCGTTTCTTCCCAAATATCTGCATGATTGTAAATGTGATTCAAAGTCATTAATGCCCATTTAAAACCCATTTATTTTTATAGCTTTATTTATGTAATTTATGCGTTATAATAAATTCTATTTTTAGCTACTTTTTGTAATGTCTATTCACTGCTTTTCTCCAAATGATCTTTTGGGGGGTAATTTCTTAGCCCAAATTGATATGTAATTAATTCGATTGAATGTTGTAATCTCCAGAGGCGTACGGTTTTGTCCTCTCGGAAGAGCCAGCCGGTCTGCGCGCGCGAGAAGGTGATGGATTTGGTGGAGAGTGTGGCGGAGTAGATGTCGCTGCTCATCAGGATGTCCACCTCCTCCTCCGTCTCCATCTCTGACTCCTGAAACACACACACGTGTTACACACACGCCGGCGCAGAACACGCGTGATGTGTGTCCTGACGGAGCACGTGCCTCGTGATGAATCCGCTGATAAACCTTCTGCTCGTTGTCCAGAACCACGAAGGACTCGGAGGGAGCGGCGTCTCCACAGAAGATGAAGCTCAGGTCTCCTCGCTGACACTTCATATCGGTGAAGTCGATCAGTGTAGTGTCCAAACTACAGCACACACACACACACACACACACACACACACATGCACGTGCGACACACACACACACAGACACACATTATTATACATTTTATTTATTATTATTATTATTATTATTTTTAAACCAGAGGTGTCAAAATCTTTTAATACTAAGGTCCAAAAATCTAATTGTATTCAGAAGCATGGACCAAATGTAAATGTTGCTTTATATTCAGCTATATTATGTATTATATTATGTATTAAATGTATTCATTTTTAAAATATTTTAAAATAATTATTTTTAAATGTTTAATAAAAATTCACTTTATGTTTTTTTTTCACATTTTACATAGTTTTTTATTATGTAAAAATAAACAAAAAAGTAAATAATATGTGAATAATAAATGCCATGTTTTTTTTCTATTTTTCTTCCTATTGAAGTTTTTTTTTTTTTTTTTTTAAATTGTATTGTATTTCAGTATTGTATTTCACAGCAAAGTTTTTCTTACAGTTTCTATAAATAAGCCTGGTGTCAGCTGACTGTCTGCTGTCAATCAAACGGTTAAACACTCTCACTAACCAGCTGACATTAGTTAGTGTGGTGTTTATGAATCTCTGACTGACAGCAGGAATCCGATCAGACGTACCGGATGTTGATGCCCTGTTTGTAGATCTTGCAGGCGTCGGAGGGTAAAATCCGTGAGAGTAAAGGCACTGAGGAAAAGAAAATCAACTTCAACACATCTTAGAAAAAAACTGATTCAACAGATTCACGCCACAGAAAAACAGACCTGATAGAAAACAAGCCACCATTTCGGTCATATTCATTACGGTTTAATGACTTTTAAGAAAATCTCAAGAACTCTAAACACATCCGAGACAAAAAATTACATTAATATTAATAATAATAATATTTTAGATCCAGATTATTTCACGACAATTTCCACACACACTCTCACTCATGCACACACACACACTCACACACACACTCACACACACGCGCACGCACGCACGCACGCACACACACACACACACACACACACACACACACACACACACACACACACACACACAC